CAACGACCCTGTTTGATTCCTCACTCGTGGTTCCTTCGTCCACGGCTTTCCCTTTCGCTTCTGCAGCTCGGAGAGATTTCTCCAGCTCGTCGAAGTCTGACCCCCATGTGATGTTCTCCACTGGCACACTTGTTGACTCTTTCGGGCCTTGGTATAACACGTAAAAAGGATATCTTTCCCCATCTTCGCCCAGTAGCCCAACAGCTTTGTGGCCAGCTTCGTACAGTTCTTTCAGGATCCGCTGCGAACTCTTGTTCTGTTTGGCTGACTCTACTGCCAAGTCAATTCGACCATTCGTGTGAGCCATCATTGCACTCCACGGCTCAGCCTCAATTGGCAGATCCACAGACTCGCCAACCAGCTCTGCCGCCGCTGGCTCCTCATTCTCCTCCTCTAAAGTCAGTTGAGCGAAACCGCTCACCAGTTCAGCAACGTTGACCTCCTGAGCAGCTTCGTCCAGTTCTTCAACTTCCATCACGACCTCGCCATCCTCTCCCTGATTTTCCAAATCAATGTGGAAGATCAACGGCAAGATGTAGTTTTTCACCACCACTGGTGGTAGGCTTCCAAACTGGATCGTCATGGGAGCACCTTGGTTGTCATCATCGTCATCCTTGTTCTTTCAATCAAATTTTGACTTCGGCTCCTCTAATTCCAGCATCTCCTCTTCGATAAAGGAGTCATCCACTTCAGCATCGTACGCAGCCTCTCCCGGGACTCCTTGCTCGTTCCCGTCCCGCTTGTCCTCTACAACTTTTCCAGCACCGGCCACAGTCACTCTCAGACCCGTGGTAGAGTTATCCACGTTCACATTTGCTTGCAAGCTTGCAATCCTCCTTCCTTGAGCATTCTTGCGGAGGTACCTTCGATACTGCGTCTTTGTCATCTGGTCAACGGCGATAGGCTGCTGACGACGGACATCGTAGGTGTGCCAACCACCCTGTGGCACATTTGGCATCATGAAAGTTCTCCTGACAGGTGGGGGACCTCTCACTGGTCGGGCAAGTCCAAAAGGCAGACTTTTGAAAGGTGGGGCACTTTGAGCAACCCACTGCCTACGTTGCCCTCTTCCCCAGGCAGGTGCACGTACTCCCTCGACACTGCGTTCATATGAGGGGTACCTCGGTTTGAACTGTCGTGGTCCCAATCTCTGGTGGACCGACTGGCTTGGTCCCGCTCCCCCAATGTTCAGCTTCCCACGACACTGGGCACAGAGCTTCTCTTCCTCAGCTGGGTCCAAGCGTGGCCCCTCCTGCACTTGGGATGATGAAGCACCTTGGGCCACATCAGAACTACCACTCGGCGGTGACGTTGTATCCACCACCAGCTTGAAACGTGGCAGGTTGATCTTAGAGAAATCAGGATTGACCATGTTGATGCCGACCACGTTTGGGAAAGGGTCTGTGTCAACAATCATGGCCTCCTTCCTCGGCTCTGGGAATTTGAACCGACCCTCTCAATTGCATCCTGCACAACGTTGCGAAACACAACACACATGTTAGTTGAATGAGATGCACTGTTGTTCCACTTACAGTATCGTTTCCCTTTTAACTTTTCAGCTGGCGGGATAGTATGCCCCCCAGTTAACTTAATTTGACCATCTTTGTAAAGTTGGTCGAAAATCAGTTCTGATTTTGAAACATCAAAGGAATATTTCCTAGTTTGAATTGGAGCACGATTGGGCTTTCCACCTTGTGGTTCCCCTTCGGCCTTGGCTAGAGAAGCACACACATATGGCTTCCCCTGCACAATCTCGGCCAAATCAACCTCAACCTCGTCAACATCACTGCCGACGTTATTCACACCATAGTTTTCAAAATTAGGGAAATATTGTCCACGAGAACCACTCCTCTTATGTTCCTCTTCACGAAGAAGAGATTCGTATCTAACAGCGTAGGACATCAATTGAAAAAGATCGGAGAACTCCCTATCTTGAAACTTTTTACGAAGTTCAAAATTCAATCCACTCTGAGCGAGTTTAACAAACTCGCGTTCTGTCAAGTTCACAAAACAGCGATTTCTTGCATTTTTAAAATTAGTTAAGAAATATTCCACCGTTTCTCTTGGCTGTTGGCGCATTCGTGCCAAGTCTGCCATAGTTACTTCCGGCTCAGAACGGTAGAACTGGGCATGGAACATTTGTTCCATTTGCTGCCATGTTTGAACCGAGTTCGAGGGCAAATTGACGTACCACGCAAATGCGGGCCCGGTCAACGAGTTGCCAAACAATCGCAACTTCAAGAAAACACTCACATCACCACACTGAACCGTGAATCGTCCAACGTGCTCGACGGTGGACTGATCTCCAGTCCCGCTGAAGGTGATGAAATCAGGTACGCGAAAACCACGTGGAAATGGGTAGTATCTATCAACCCAATCCGGATATGGTTTTCGATATACCGGCGGCATCGCTGGTCTAATCCCTAAACCAAACTGATCCGCCAGCATCTGTGCTACCTTATCACGAATCAAATTAACATCTTGCCCCCCGAGTTGCCCCCCCTTGTGGTATGAATCCACCAGGATCCATGCCAAGCCCGTTTGGAGGAGGAGGGACGTTTTGCGGGTAGCCGCGTGGGGGAACATGATCATTGTTGATCGTTCCTCCACCACCAGCACCGCTCATCGGAGCCACGTAGGGTCTGGCTTCCGGAATATTTTGTGGACCCACATTGTGCACTGGTGGCGGCTCAACACGAGTGTTAGCCGCAGTGCTGGTCTCGCCAGGATTTACTCTCGACGGACTTGTTGGGTTCACCACCGGTGTCGGCGAAACACCCTGTCTCGGCTGAGTATCTCGGCCGCCATTGATCGGAAAGCTATTGGTGCCAATTTCGTTGTGTAACGGATTCTCGCCGCTTAACGGCAAAGCCCTTGTTTGCGGCACTGGCCTATTCAAAAACTCTCTTAAATCATTAAAATCACGTCTGTTACTTTCAAAATCCATTCTGTTTTTATGTACGACTTCAACCAGTTGGCTAACACGTCTATCAGTCCGAGAACTAAGACCATCAAGACGTCCATCCAAAGAGGCTAAGTGAAGTTTTACCTGTTGGTTATCAGCCATGACTTGGCGAAGCATGCGTGTTATCTCACCCTGGTTGGCAGTTTGCGCCACTACTGGCACTTCCCCTCCGGTGTCGTTACTCGAACCGCCACTCTGGTCAGTCTCTACATTGACCATTGTCTCTTCCTCCACTGAAGTTGGTGGAAGATCGCCCTCGTGATTCTTCCTTCGCGGAGCCATCCGAACACACGGGTCCCACCAGGTGTGCCAATTTGTTTCGTTGGCGAAACTCGCGTGTTCAATGCGCGCTGTTTTCAAGTAAGCACAAACACACAGTCAGCAAAACCGTCAAATATCCGTCGCCGAATGTCGGCGCCGTTGATTTGATCGATTAAAACAGAAATCAGGACGACCGTCAAATATCCACCGCCGGCGTTGGCGATGTTGATTTGATCAATACACCTTTGACTTCTAATCAAACAACCGTTATTCGGTTCACCACCTCTCCAAACTACGTTCGAACGAGGGTGTTCGGCGAATAACCAGAAAAATCGAACCAGGAGTTCTACGTTACGTTACCTCTACTCCTATGGAGGTTCCTCTGGAGAGCTCCGCAACTACGACTACGAGCTACGATCTACGACTCTGCAAAGGAGTTTTTTGACAGAGCGGTTCTACGAAACTAGAGAGAAAAAAGATAAATTCTGCGATGGTGCAGTTTGTGATTTGATTTTGCCCTCCCGAACTTCTCTCTCTTCCCAATCTTTATACTTCGCGCTTCTCCTCGTCGTAGTAACCGCCTTCGCGCCTTTGTCTCCCACATCTTCACTCCTGTCAACCGTGCAGGTAACTTCCTCCTTGTTGCGTAACTCCCACGAGTGCGACATCGCTTGAGCACGTGGCAACTTGGTCCAAAACGACACTGAGCCGAAATCCACCATTGCTGAACTCTCGTCACTGTGACGTTGTTTTTAATTAAACAACATCGTTTCAGTACCGCGACGGTGTCGACCTCCCACGATGTCGTTTTCGGCTAAAGTGACACCGTCTTAACTGATCCTTAAAATATTAATTAATTAAACCGGCCATCATTGTTGACACGCTGTCAAACTCTCACTTCGCGGCGCCGTTCTTAATTAAACAGCATCGTTTTCTATTTCTGCGATGCTGTTGAACTTTGCGATGCCGCTTTAAATTTAACGCTGTCGTTTTAACAACTGCGGCATCGTTTGGCCCACTCGCGGCATCGTCTTTAAATCTGCGGTGTCGTTCCTTCTTCTTGCGGCATCGTTTTCAACTAACGACACCGTGCTAAAAAGCCATTAAAAATATTAATTAACTAATCTGGCCATCACTAGTCCACGACCAACGATATCATTAGCGTCAAAACGGCTCCGTTTGTTTTTCCTTTTGCGACATTGTTTTTTATTAAACACTGTCGTTTGCTTGAGGTACCGTGGGGCTTCCTCGCGGTACTGTTTTTAATTCCGCGACATCGTTTTAGCTCTCCGCGGCACCGTTTTAACTCCCCTCGGTGCCGCTTCTTCCAATCCAACAAGGAATAAAAATATAATAATTAATTAGAGAAAACTCCTTCTCCAATACCCACGCGCGGCCCTCTTGTTTTTCGGTAAGCGGTGTCGTTTGCAGTGCCGCGGCACCGCTGAGCTTCCTTGCGGTACCGTTTTAGTTCTCTGCGACGCCGCTCGACTCCCAATGATACCATTTTTTACGCGCGTTATCGACTTAAATGCCGAGACTAATTAATGCGGCCTTTAATTCTGGTCGAATTAATTTTAGGTGTCAACACGTCCTCGTCGTCGGCATCTATCCCCGTTAACTCTCTCGCCGTCGTCGTCTTTCTTTTCTTACCTTCTCTTGTAATTGGGAAAAATGAGTCTTTAAGAAGAGATGAACCCACCACTCTATTCTCGAGTGGAGTAATCCAAGTCGAACAACTTAAACCACTAGGCTGGTTGCCTGCCAATTGTTAAATTAACTATCTCTTTTATTTTAGGCCAAATACACTTGTATAGCCAAAACTTTGACAGTTGTGACAATAATAGCCATTTTTGGATAAATACCAATAATAGCCAGAAATTTGAAAGTTTGATGACAATAATAGCCATTTCCGTTACATAGTTTGACGGCATCAATGACACCGTTAGTCAAATTAACGGAACGATGATCTGGCTGCCAACTCACCTGACACATCATTGACAACTCACCAATACTTGCCACATACACCTGACACGTCATATTTTAAAATATTTAATTAATTTATTAACAAAAATTTATTTATAAAAAAAAATCAAAATAATTGCCCTGCTTCCCCTCACCGTCCTCCATCCTTGTTTCCCCTGTCGTCGACCAAAACTCTTTCATTTTCTGTTCGATTCCTTCATTCAAACCCACCATGAATCTGCAAAACAAAAATCATCAATTCACAAAACCAAATTCAATCCACCCAATCCATCGACATCCATTCATCTCTCACCGATTCCCCTGCGCCGCCGCCGTCGCCAGGAACTATTCATCCTCCGCCGCCAGGAATTCGAGTGAGATCCTCCATCCTTTTCGCCCAGATCTTCGAGCTCAACAACCGCCTCAATTCCCGCACCGAGATCCTCGGTTTTATCAGAAGCAACGCTGCCATCGGAGGAAACGGGTTCGTCGGGCTTGTTCCAGTACTGACCAAGTGTGGGATTGTGGGCCGAGGTTGAGGAAGATGAAGGGCAAAAGAGGCAGAGGGGGATTGTGGTAGGGATTGGGGGCGGAGGGATGATGGAGATGAATGGCAGAGGAGGTGGGGGTGGGGGTACAAGGCGGAGGAGGTAGAAGGTTGGGGGGAGACGAAGGGCGAAGGAGGTAAGGGGGATCGGGGTGGTGGTTTTTTTTTTCATCTTCTTCGATTGAAAGCCAGACTTCATCTTCTGTTTTCCTGACTTCATCTTCTCGATTGAAACCCAGAATTGACGCTCTCAAGATCCATCTTCCGAAACCCATATTTGCAGCGACGAGAGGAAATTGATGCCCTTCGATTGATTGACCCGAGGGAGCACCGGCGGTGGAACGGGAACTCTGGGAGGTGGAAGACAGAAGCAGAATCTTTTCCTTCTCCCTCGGCTCGAGTATCATCCTCTATCTTAATGGCGAGTTCGGAGATTCTGTAAATGGCGATCTCCAGCGGTGATGGAAGAATCGAGAGATGGGGAAGAAGAGAGATGGAGAGAAAATAAAAAATATTTATTTATATTTATTTTTAGTTTCCACCTCACATTTTTAATTGACTAACGGTTGCCAACTCAGCAATATCGTTAGTCCAGTCAGCCTGTTACTTGACACCGTCAAACAATTGGACGGAAGTGGCTATTTTTGGTATTTCGCTAAAAGTGGCTATATTTGACCAAACTGTCAAAGTTTTGGCTATACAAGTGTATTTGGCTTTTATTTTAAAACTTTAAGCGATGTTGATACATAAAATCAAGGAGATGTTAGCCTTGCTACTTGTGTTGAAGAGATCCTCCTTTGGGGTAGGAATTCCTAAATCCTTGCTTGAAGATGAAACCCTAGCTTCTCCTCTTTTTTGGTTTGTCACTTTCTCACTCTAGAAATCTGAGAAGAACAAGTTTCTCACACCAGGTCTCTCTCCCTTTTCTTCTTTGGCTCAACCTCCTTTATATACTCAGATCGGGCTCAGTTCACGGTCTTAGTTCACGGCCGTAAACTTCAAGCCGGGACCGTGATCTCAAGTCGAAACTCACCGCATCACTAATACCAGTTCACGACAATGGCCTGAGTTCACGGTCTTACGACCGTGAACTGACTTGTGTCCAGTGAAAGGTGTTTGTGCTCTGGATGCATGGCTGTTCACGGGTAGCGCCTCCAGTTCACGGTCGTAGTGACCGTGAACACACGGCCCAAACTGTTATTTGTTTCTGCTTCCACCGTTTGAATTGATTTTTCGGCCTTTCAACCAACTTTCGACTTCGGGGTTGGTTTCACCTGCCAAAGTATGAAAAACACCAAAACAAGGCAAAATCCGGCATAAAACCAAACCTCCTAGAGTAAAAATGCTTCAAACGACTAACCAAACCGGGGGTAAAAAGTGTACAATGAGCCCGAATCACATGTACAATTATCTAGGATTTCTTAGCGCATCCACATCAATGGTATTTTCTCAATTTTATTTCTTAGAGCATCCCCATCGTCTCTATTTTCCCAATTGCATTCTTACGTGGATTGGAGGTTTGCAATGGCAAACTTAATTTCATTGATGTGGGAAGTGGTGTAACTGATGCAAGCTTTCATATAATGAAAGCCTGTTTGCCATGCCAACGTTGATGGATGGTGCGTCAGGTCCGACTTTTTTGTCATTTAAATAAATTAAAATATATTTTAAATAAATTATATTTTTATATGCAATTGCAAATGAATTGTAGTGATATAGGACAATGAAATCCAAATGAGTTGAATTGCAAAATTTGATTAGATGTTTATAGAACCACATATGCAATTTATTGTGCAATTGCATTGACGTGGATGCTCGTACATGACACTCAATATGCAATTGCAAATGGGATTGCATCAATTTAGTGGGCACTTGCAAAGATGCAATTTTTCATTAAACGAAATAAATTAATCAAACCACACAGGAAAATAATAGTACAATAATTTATTTTCTCTCTCTAGATTTATTATTATAAAGTCACTTAAACCCTCGTGCAGTAAAATAAGACTGAGTTTGATTACATAAAGTTTGATATGGCATTAAGAAAATCATATGCAATTGATTTTGCAATTGCATTGATGTGGATGCTCTTATGGTAGCGTAATGAAAATGACGTCGGGTGTGTAAGGATGGCAATAGGGCGGGCCAATACTTCAATACCCATGTCCGCCACTACTACATGCAGGTTAGGTCGAGTAATATTTGAGCGGGTACAAGGCGAGACGGGTTGACCCATTCTCATATGTTATTTGAAAAAGAACGTTGATTTTTAACTCTTTTACAAGAAGATACAGAGAAAACACTTCATAGATGAATGAGATCTATAAAAGAAGGAATAATTGAGTTCAAACACTTGAAAGATGGAGTCTTGAAATTTCTTTGTGATGAAAATATAATTTTAGAAAGGTCAAAAGAGAAGCAACACATGCCGATATTGATGCAAATTATGATCGAAAGGGCTAAGAATGAGGCAGGATGAGACGAGCAGGTCTGAAGCAATACTCATCTTCAATATCAGAACATGAGACTTTTTTTCCTCCAGGTTTAGCTTCTACTTTGATGACGCAACAATTAAGGTTGAGTTAGATTTTCCTCATATATGGTTAAATTATCTTTTCATACCCGCATTTCAGTTTTTGGACGAAAAAGACAACAATGTGACGAAAATGAGACTTGAGTGCTTTAGTTCCAACCAAAATTACTTAAGCGGGCAACATACAACCGGACTAAAACTAAAGTGGCATGCAATGCAATTAACCTACTTTATTTACACCTAATTCAATAGTTAACCTAAGCAGACATGTTATTTTTAAGGGCCAAATATGACTAGGGATGGCAACAAATTCGAACCCACGGGTACCCTATCCGATCCAATCCGGTCAATGTGGGTAAACCCTGTGTTAACTGGTATTGGTTCGGATATGGGTTTAAACCCGTACACTGTTCATCGGGTAGGGTTGGGTTTGGGTTTAGGGATATCCGACCCATGTATACCCGTGCACACTTATTCCGTCGCTGCCCTACTCTCCCTAAACCCTATCCTAAGTCTAATTTTCCCCAATCTAACTCTCACGACACTCATGACTCACTTGCCGCCTCCCCAATCCCTATTATGGTCTCTCCCCCAAAACCCCCCTCTCCTCCCCGATCCTACTTCCCAATCCTTCCCTGTTTTTCCCATAAAGTTGACCGTGTTTTATTTCTTACCAGCAAGGTATTGTCCCGTTTTTCTCAAAAGAAGTTGGAGGGATAAATTAATAATTGAAGTTGAACATATCATGTTTGTTGGTTTGCTGCTCTCTCACAAACAAAAAGGGAATGAACGAAAAATAAAGAATTGTGTGTTTAATTTTCTAGAAGTTGAACACAACATGCTTGATTTTTCTTGAATTTTCTATATTGATGTTGAACAATTTGTATGAACAATTTGTGATTTGTTTGAATTTTTTAGACTGGTGTTTTATATATGGATAATTTGTATGGGGAAATTGATGTTTGACTTTTATTTTCATAGGAACTTGTAATTGTAAATTTCTTACCACAAAAACCCATGGATACTGACATGCTAAAACACAACACCAACTGCGACCAAGTGTAATTGCGGAATGGATATGTAGTATAGTGGAATCATGTAATAAATGTCAAGCCAGGGACTAGATGTAATGTACTGCCTACTCCGTGATTATTTATTATCTAGCGGGGAAAGTTTAGTGAGGATGAGTTTAAACTAAAGCAGAAAAAAGCAGTAAATTGTCCGGTTTCCTTAAGCAAGAGAAGAGTCACTCGGGAATGAGTCCCCCTAGCTCCTTAGTTAGGTCCAAGTTGTCATTTCCTTAGGTTGATTTACTGTTGATTAAACTTCGGAAGATCCGACAGTAGCTTGGAATCTCTTAAGCTGACCAAGTCCTCTTAGACAGACTAATCGGCAGACGACTAGTCTTCACCGGGATAGAAAGCTAAGGCAGTTAACACAGAACTCCACTACTGGAATTGGATTTCAGTACAAAGCAATGGATTGACTAACTCTCGTATAATCAATTCACTCCTATCAACTGAAGAAGCTCTAACAACCTAATCAGATTCTATCTATCTCAGGTTGCAGCAGAAATCAAGAGAATTTGATCAGGGTTCAATTGGCTCAATAAACACACTTCAATCAATTATAATCAAACAGTATATCAATCCAAAAGTCATTACAACTCAAATCCAGTAGAAAGCTAAGGCAGTTAACACAGAACTCCACTACTGGAATTGGATTCCAGTACAAAGCAATGGATTGACTAACTCTCGTATAATCAATCCACTCCTCTCAATTGAAGAAGCTCTAACAACCTAATCAGATTCTATCTATCTCAGGTTGCAGTAGAAATCAAGAGAATTTGATCAGGGTTCAATTGACTCAATAAACACACTTCAATCAATTATAATCAAACAGTATATCAATCCAAAAGTCATTACAGCTCAAATCCCTAACACATGGAACTAGGGTTCTTCATACCCAAGTGAGAGAAAGGTCTACTTCGTATAGAGAAAGAGAGAGGAAAACAAAATTCAAAGCACTCATACTCATAAAGATGGGAATAATCTGCTCTAGGTGTCGATCTTCACTCCTGAGGATGCAATTTGGGCTTCAATGGTGAGAAATCCACTCCAAAATAGCTCCTAGGGTTTGTTCTTCGCACTTTCTCTCTAGAACTCTGTTTTTGCTTCAAAAAGTCATATCCCCTTCTGGGCGAATTACGGGCAGAAGCACGGTCGTGATTTTCCCTTGACCGTGCTTTGCCCAAAACGAGCATTTCACTTAGTGCAAAGTGGGAGAAACACAGGCAAGTCTGGGTAAAGCACTGGCGGTGTTTAACTAAGCACGATCGTGCTTTTCTCATGGGCTACCCGTGCTTTGCTTTTCTTCAGCACTCTTCATGGTTGGCTCTCATCAGTAAAAGCACTGGCAAGATGATGAAAAGCACGGTCGTGCTTTTCTCCTTGCTTGCCCGTATTTCATCTCCAGAATCGCCAAATGATCTCCAAATGACCTAAAACTTGCGTCTAAACCTTCGTATACCCGCTAGGACCTGAAATATGACAAAATAGCACAACCTAGCGTAAAATAGACCAAGGATCAACAAAATTGAGCCAAAATGGTTAAGATATAAGGGTGCAAACATGTGAAAATATAACGTTATCAAATTCCCTCACACTTAAGTGTTTGCTTGTCCCCAAGCAAACCAAGTCAAATACAAGGTAAGCTCAAAACAATTTCATCATGCAAACTTGGGGACACATCATATAGGCACAAAACACGTGAATCATACTAGCTTTTAGACATCAATACATGAAGAACATCAATAGCAACCTAGAAAACCACCATAGATGACATTCGAGTGCAGCAAAATTGGTTAAAGGAAGAGTCACCCTTCTGTTCACCAACCAACTTAGACTTGAATCAACCACTTATTCAAGACAGTCACCTCATGCATAAAATTCAAGACATCAGAATCAAGACCGAGCAATCTAGATCCTCACCGGGGTAAAGAACGTAAAGAATATAAGGAAATGAATCGCTCACTCTCGACCAATGGGGTCAGGACAATTTGATGCAAAAAATGTGCATGCTTACTCTCTCAATTCCTAACATCTCTTCACCACTAACTAGTCAGGAGGTCTTAGACACGGATTCAGATGACTGGCTAGGGTCTTGGACATGGGAAAAATGCCTTTTAGGTGGTGCCGTGATGGAAGTATTCAATACAAGGTCCCACAGTTCCAAACCCAACATAGTTACCATCATTCACCATTTACCTTCTTTCTACCATTCTGCATTAATCAAGTTCTTTAGAGCCCAAGAGTGAAGGAGGTCACAATAATGTTAATATTTCTAAGCTAGGCTGCTAGGAAACACTATCTAGTCTAGAAATCTGAAGAAGAAGAAGAAGAAGTTTCTCACACAAGGTCTCTCCCTTTTTCTCCTTTGGCTCAACCTCCTTTATATACCCAGATCGGGCTCAACCTCACTAGCTAGTCCGTTTGCCTCGCATTAACCTTACCTGGAAGGCTGGCAGGGTTTTTTTGTCATGGGAAAAATTGTTCGGTCATTATAGTTTAGGGTGATAAATTTGAAAATTTAGGGCGTCAAATAAAAATTCAGTTTTTCTTTCATAGGTCATATATATGAGAATCATTTCCCTTCAACGACTTGTGGGCAGAACCGAAAGATTATGTCATTGCAATTTTGGAGTTACTTGTGGAAAGTTATTGCTCCCTGCGACTCTATTGTCATCTAATAAGATTATTTTCGATATATTTCAAATATGTGTTTCGTAAAGTTTCTACGAATAATATAGATACAATATAGTATGTGTATTCATGACACTCATCAAGACTATTCACAATCTATATTCAGTGAGAGTGTTCATAATACTTATTAAAAATATTCACAACACCTGTTAAGAATATATGCAACACGTACTAAATGTAAAAACTCCAAATAATTTGTACGAATATGTCAAATGTGTTGTATGTAGGGTTGATATTTCAGTTTCAGTTTGAACCAAAACTGAATCATAAGGTTTTCTTGTCGATTTTTGGTATAGGTCTCAAACTGTATGCACTTACCAGTTCCAGTCTGGTTAAAATAAAAAATCGATAAGAAAGCGAAGCATCAATACACAAACACCCATGCACATACATTTGTTTTTTGGTTTCTTGAAACCAAACCGAACTATTAAGAAATCTTAATGGTTTTTTGTTAATTGAAATTGTTAAGCCCCAAAATAGATCAATTCGGTTTCATGAGAAGAGCTTGTTTCGAATTTTGAATCTTTTATAAATATATCACATGTGGTTTTGGAAGAAAATACTCAAGTGCAGAGGGATTGCTCAGTCTCATATCTCTGGGGCAGGTAATACTCTTGCTTGGGATGGGCACTCACTGATTAAATATTCTGTTAAGTTGATATGGTCTTCCATTCGTGTCCCATCCCCCACTATTGAGTGGTGTCCTATTTTGTAGGGTAAGCCTTTTATCCCAAAGCATAGTCTGCTGGTATGGTTGATAATTTTGGATAGAATTGTAACGAAAGACAAGCTTGAAAGTTGGGGGTTAGCAGGTGAGAGTTGTTGTGTGCTTTGTCCTGGTGGTTTTGAAAGTCGAGATCACCTATTCTCTTTGTGTTCTTATAGCACTGAGATTTTCCAGACAGTGTTAAGGAAGGTCTGCAGGTGGCCTCCTTTCCAGGACTGGTGTTCTCAGTTGATCTGGGTGACGCAAAGATGGTCAGGTACAAGATCGAAAGCTAAGATTGGCAGATTGTTATGGACGATGTGTTGTGCATATATTTGGCGTGAGAGATGTGCTCGCATTTATGGTGCAAGAAGAGTCTCAGATCCATTCCAAGTCTCAACTACAATAGTGCAGGAGCTCCAATTATACTCGGGCAACACAATTGACTTGCAGAAGATGGTCAAGGACGTGTTGGGTTTATAGTTCCATTTGTTTTTGGTTTGATTACTTGCTGGTATAGGTTTTTTCTTTGAGTGTAAAGCGTTGACATTTTGAGAGGGAGGTTGCGAGTTGCACCTCCCCGGGCTTCAATACAACTTTTGATTAACCATCAAAAACAACAAAAAAAAAAATATGTCAGCGGTCAACCCACATATGAAAATATCTGGAAAATATATCTAATGCATATAAAAATTAGGGTAAATATTAGTTATTAGCTAAATCTTTTCCATATTCTATTTATTAGTAAATTTTATTGGATTAGTAATAATTAATCAAATTTTTAATGCATCAACATATTAGCCATTTTTCTATTATCGTTAATAATTCAGAACTCTTTTTTAGTTAAAATGCTATAATTTTGGAATGTTGACTTCCATGTGTCTTCTCTGAGTCAGTATCATGTTGCCAAATCAATATTACTAACAAAATTACTAATTAGAAGTTAGTTTTTGGCTAATTATTAGTAATTCAATAGATTTGTCTAATAATAAAAAAGATTACAAGAGATGTTTGTCTAAAAATTCGTATTTACTCTAAAAATTGGCTCAAGATATGGTGAATAACCATGGGTTGTGCACCCATCAATAACTAAATCTGGATCCTTCATTTAGAAAATCCAGATCTAACGATGGAGAATTAAAGATCATTTTTATTTTCCCTAACATTTTAATCTGCTCATATCTTCTTCGTTTTAACTTGGATTTTAATTTTTTTTGCACAGATGGAACGAATTCGTTGTGCTCTACAAAATGAGATCCATTTTCAATATTTTTTTAGAAAAAAAATTTATTGCCTCTTGGTACCAACTGCACACCATATGGTATCTTCTTCGTTTTTAATTCATTTTTTAAAACGTTTGCACAGAAGTAACGAGTTCATCATGATCTATTGGACCTACAAATTTATGGTGAACAAATTACAGGACCAAAAAATATCACACAATACCATACAATACCACCCTGGTACGGGGTGGTATCTTGTGGTACACAATGTTAAAAGTCGTAAATGACAGTTAATATAATTCTACTATCATGTATTCAACCATCCTACGGTCTTGGTTTGTTCATATCACCATGATACGCGTTTCAAACCATAGGTATGCTCTTATTTCAATACCAGTCAATACCATATGATATAGACTGGTAAAAAATAGCTCAATTTCTTTTTGTTCGAAAAATATATCAAAGTGGATATCATTTTTGAAGAACAAAATTAATCTGATCTAACTGTGCAAAAAAAATTAAATTTTGACTTAAAACGAGTGAGAAATCATCCGTCAAAGATAAAAGAGTGGAAAATTAAAGGTTTTCCCGGAGAGAGAGGAATGTTGATGTCAGGCTTATGCGGACTGGTTACTTATGGTCACTCACCATAAAGTTAGTCACCTGATTAGGGATGGCATATCAGACCGCGCGGGCGGGTACCCGCCCGAAAACCGGCTGGGCGGACCAGTTTTTACCCGGACTTGACGGTGATTTAACGGATTCGGGGAAACCCGTTATCCGTGGATAACGGACATCGGGCGGTGACGGAGTCCAGGCTATCCGCCCCGAGCCCGCCCCGAGCCATAAAAACGACGTCGTATTATGAGCATATATATATCCATCAGTCGAGCAAAGAAACCCTAATCCCTAATTGGAAAAGCGCCGCTCTCTCAGTCTCTCACTCTCTCTTCTCCTCTCAGTTCTCTGCTCTCAATCGCCGCTCAAATCCATCGATTCGATTCCCCCCCCCCCCCCCCCCCCCCCCCCCCCCCCCCCCCCCCCCCCCCGCGAAATTCTCTCCACCCAGGCTGTCAATCATTCATTATCCACCAATCAAAGCCTAATATCCTCATCAATTTAGGCAAAGAACAACATGCAAAAGGAGAAGAATCAGAAGATGATTGTTCCAATCTCCGATTCGAGGTTATTGGGAGGATTTGTCGTCGATTATTGTTCCGATAATCCAGAACTCGAGATAAGTACCTTCCAATTCAATTCTTCTTTCTTGTTTCAGTTTCTTGCTTTAGTTTTAGGTTCGTTTAAATTAACTCGAGTCGATTGGTTCTTTCTAGGGCTCTTCTATTTCATCTTCATCTGCACCTGGGACTGCATGCATGCTCTCATTGGATTGTTTTGTTTGTACTTTTGTTTGAGTTTTTGCAGTTTTGTATCAGGCATCAGTTCACCATCCACAACTCTGGACAATAGACCCCTTCTGTCCAGATTCGAGGTTAGTTAAAGAATTAAGGACATTTTACTTAATTTGGTTTGCATGTATTAGGAATTAGGGACTCGAGTTTCTGTTGATTGCTTGGGTGTTGGGTCTGCTCATGAATCATGTCTTGTTTAGTATAAGTGTTTCATGTGCATGTTACAATTGAATCTAAAAGACTATAAATTTGAACCTAGAAATCTTATAGCTAAAGCCTAAAAAGTAACCAAGCAATCCTTTGATGTTTATACTCGTTTATCTCAATGTCAGATGGAAGGTGCACCTGAAAATGTTGTCAATGCTCCTGTTCCTCCACAACCTGCCCCTGTTGATCAAAACAACCAACTTGAACAAGTTGGTAATGGTAACGGTAACTTGGCTAATGAAAATTCTGAAGTGCTTGTTGAAGAATGCAAATTGACTTCTGATGTATGGCCTCATTACATTAGGGTTAAGGTTAATGGGGTTATTAAAGCTAAGTGCAAGTACTGTCGAAAAAACCTTGGTGGTGATACTCGTAATGGAACCTCGCACCTTAGGACTCATGTGAAAACCTGTATCCAAAAAAGGATACATGATGGTGCTCAAAAAATTCTTTGCCCTAATTACAAAGCAACTGGAAAACCCCAATTATCTGCTACACAGTTCAACTCTGATGTGTCTAGGAAGGAGCTGAGCTCAATGATTTTGGTCCATGAGTACCCTCTTAGCATTGTTGAACACTTGGGTTTCAAGCGTTTCTGTTGTTCTTTGCAACCACAGTTTACTGTGCCTAGTAGAAATACTGTGAAGAAAGATATATTGTCTTTGTATGGGGTTGAAAGGAGTAACTACCAAAAGGTTATTGATGGTAATTTAGTTAGACTTGCTGTGACCACTGATTTATGGACTGCCCCAAACCAGAAGAGGGGTTATATGGCAGTCACAGCTCACTTTATTGATAATACTTGGAAGCTAAGAAACTCAATGCTAAAGTTTTTGTATGTCCCTTCCCCTCATACGAGTGAGAGGCTTGCAAGAAAACTGTTTCAATGTCTTCTGAATTTGAACATTGATGGAAAGTTGTCTGCAATCACCTTGGACAACTGCTCCACTAATGATTCCATGATTGCTCACCTTAAGAATAAACTTGTTTTGAATAACTTGTTGATGGATGGTAGACTGCTTCATATGAGGTGTTCTGCTCATATACTGAACCTTATTGTGAAAGATGGTTTGGGTGTGATAAAGGATGGAATCCATTTGATTAGGGAGAGTGTGGTGTATTGGACATCCACACCTAAGAGGGTCCAGACTTTCAATGAAGCTGTTAAACAGCTTAAGTTGGCTGTTGGGAAAAAACTTGTGCTTGATTGTCCAACAAGGTGGAATTCCACCTATGATATGCTCTCTATTGCTCTTCTGTACAGAGATGTCTTTTTTCGTTTAAGACAGATGGATAGTCAATACACATCAGCTCCTACTAATGAGCACTGGGATTTTGCTGCTATTGTGATTGATAAACTGCTCATTTTCAGTGAGACGACTGCATTATTTTCTGGCACCAAGTACCCCACTGCCAATCTGTTTTTCTCTAAGGTCTGTGATCTGAGATTGAAATTGAGTGACTGGTGTGCTGATCTTAATCCTGTTATTTCTGCCATGGCTGGAAATATGTGGTTGAAATTCACAAAGTATTGGGATGATATACATCTTGTTCTGGCAGTTTCAGTGGTTCTGGATCCTAGGTACAAAATGCATGTCATTGAGTATTATGCTGCTAAGTTTGGCAGCTCTGATACTTACTTGGTGGCTAAGGATCTAAAACAGCTGATTTGTGATTTGATTAATGATTATCAAACCAAGGCTGAAAAGAAATCTGGTTTTCTGCCAATGAACCGATTGGAAATGCAAATGCCTCTGTTTCAGCAACTGATCTTGATTTCGAGTTGTTTGTTAGTCAGAGGAAAAAGAGCAAAACAACTCTGATTACTACTGAGTTGGACCATTATCTTGCTGAGGAACTTATTCCTCGTGATCCATCTGCTGAATTTGATCTCTTGATGTGGTGGAAGTTGAATGGGCTTAAGTATCCTATTTTGCAAGCAATTGCAAGGGACTTTTTGGCTATACCAATAACATCAGTTGCTTCCGAGAGTGCTTTCAGCTCTGGTGGGAGGTTGTTAGACCCCCACAGGAGCAGGCTCAACTATTCTACTGTGGAGGCTATGTTGTGCAGTCGTAGCTGGGTTAGGGAAGCCTGGCTAAGAGGTAACCTGCAATACCTTCGAGTTTAGTCTTAGTAGTAGCTTTTGGTTCATTTAAACAAGTGACTGAGTGAGTTTGTTCTATTTCTGTAGAATCAGAGGCTGCTGCTGCTGTGGAGGCAATGGATGGACTGTTTACTGGGCTGTCAGTTCACGATTCAAGTGTAGAATATCAGGAAAATGGGGGTAAGTTAGTTGGTTTTTAGTTTTTAGTTGGTAAGTTATGATTTATGAACTGCATAAGTGAACAAAGTTTTTTTTTATATTGATTGCAGTCCAGGAACTTCTGAATCTGGATTCACCATTCTCCTTTGATGACTGATTATTGGAACCTCGGAAGAGAAGGTATATAATATAATACATTCAAACTGACTTTTCTCCTTTATTGTAAGCTTGTATCTGTTCCTTCATATTTTTGTTTTCTTGCAGGGAATGAATGTCAATTTGTCATGTGCTGCTTGACTGCTTCTGTTCTTCAAATCTGGTTGCTGCCTTGCTGGTGCCTTTGAGAGTTTGGCTTACTGCCTTTGAGAGTTTGAGTGTGCTTTATTTGTTCCAAATTTGAAAAATGGATTGGTGTGTGGCTTACTGCCTTTGAGAGTTTGAGTTTGAGAGTGCTTTACTTTTTTTTTTTTTTTTTGCTACTTATGACTATTAGACAGTTGATGAACTCATGAACAATTGAGGAACTCTTGAAAATTCAGAGTTCTGGGTGGTGGGTGGGTTGCAGCCTTATAGGCTTTATGTTAAGCTGCTTTTGAGCATTGCTCAACTTTGAATTTGAACTGAATTATGTTTTTCCAGTTATTTTATTGTTTCAATATGTCAATTATTTAGGGTTTGTAGCGGGTAACGGGGACCCGTGGATTCCCCGAATCCGTTGCTTCACGGTGACGGTATCAAATTTGGCCCCGTTGAATGGCCGGGGACGGAGTCGGGGAAACCCGACACTGTTCACGGACGGGGAACGGATGGTATGAATCCGTCCCCGATCCGTCCCGTTGCCAACCCTACACTTGATCCGTTTCCTTAAAAATTAGTTTTCCTTAATCTAAGAGTTGTTTGATTCAAATCCAGCTTCTTATAGTAGATCTACGGTAATAGACTAATCTCATCTTTGAAATGATATCATTTCACTCGAATCCAGATTTGCTGTATTTGAACTACACCGGGAAAAAGAAACGTCCAAGTTGTCCGATGGCATTATTAATTAATTTATATATTTTGCATGCTGAGCCAAATACAGTGAGGGTCAAACGGGACGTGATTGGCGGAATTCCGGAGCTAAACGGGATCCACGCCATCAGAGTCCACGCATTTCTTCTAAATACCACGGCCGACGTCTTCGCTCTCTCTTTACCTCGTCATTTCCATCGTTGGGCTTCAAGAAGAAAGAAAGAGGCCCAACCAAACTGTAGCGTACGGCAGGCTGGCAGGCGACACCAGTCAAAGAAAGTCTCCTCCCTTCCCCGCTCTCTTTTCAATTTCTCTTCAAGAAACAAGTCAGAACTCAGAAGCTCACCCACCCATCTCCGGCTTCTCCATCGTAGATTTCGCGGCGTCTCTCCCGCCGCTCGTTCTTGCGTTGTACGGAATATCTACCGGCGGCGACTGCGGACTTAAGGTAATTCTCCATCATCGTTGACCATAATCTTTCTTCTGGAGTCCAGCGCTATGCATCTACTTGCTGCTTCCGAAATTCTCTTCCCAACAACTTGATTCGGCGCTGAAATTGCCTCGAATTCGGCTAGGTTTTCTTCTTTTACTTGCTCGATAGTATGTGGAGTAGTCTCCGATCGCTTCGTCGCTGAGAACTGAACCGAGCGTCCAGCGCCGAGGCTATCCATTCCATAGCAGTGACCGAGGGTGATTTCTCCGTCATTCCTTGTTGGACGGAACTTGTAGAATTTGACGATTTCTATGGCGTAATGATTTACTTCTTTGTTAGAAATTCGTTGAGTACGTTTCTTGTTGGACTTCTATTAAACGTTCGTGTTCTTTGATCGCGATCTCTAATATCATGCAAGAAGCTTAAACACTCTGTTAAGCTACGATCAGGTTCATAGCTCTTTCCTGTTTGGCGCTGATCCTGAGAAGAAATGTCCCGCGCGTTTGTTTATGAGGAATTGAGACGAGTGACTTCTCCGTAATTCCTTGAAGTTTGGGGAGTCTAAAATGGCACTGCAAGGTATAGGGTGCGAGTTCCTGTTCGATTTGTTCCATACTGTAATTTGCTGTATCTGCGTAGAGTCCCCTCTCCCTTTGTTGATTGGCTGTATGTGTGATCTTGCAATGTCTTTATTTGTGCACTTTGTCAGGATATGATATCGGTCAATTACTGCAAGAAGCTCAAACACGCTGGTTGAAGCCCGTGGAGGTGCACTTTATTCTACAGAATTCAGACAAGTACGAGTTTACACAAGAGCCACCTACTAGACCATCTGGTAATCTTCTTTTCTTGTGTAATAAGTAGGCAGCAATCTGTTGTTGTGTTTGTAGTTCATGCTATGTTCCAGTTATTAACAGTTCCTTTACATTTATCTGCTTGTTTGATAGGTGGGTCACTGTTTCTTTTCAATAGGAGGGTAACTCGCTTCTTTCGTAAGGATGGTCATAGTTGGCGGAAGAAAAGAGATGGAAGAACTGTTGGTGAAGCACATGAAAGACTTAAGGTGACGTCTCCTTAGTTTATGGTGCTTGAGTTTAATCATATTTCAGACGAATGAAGAGAGGATTTCTAAGTTATAATAGTTTAGTTCTTCCCATAAATCATTAACTGTAGGATAAATTTGCTTGACTTTTTTATCTGAATGTCTTTGAACAAAGTGCTTGTGTACATATTTTACTGAAACCTTAGTTTAGAAAAATATATGAAGTGTTCAACCAGGAATGAGTTCTTTGTAATTGCTGAACTTCATGGTCCAGCAAGGTAATTTGCAGAGAGATGCTTTTATTTCCATCCGTCCCTCAACTCTATCAAGATGGAATATCTGTAGTTTCCTCGAGTGTTGCATATGAAGCGCGATATATATTTAGAATCCCTTAGTCTCGCAACAGATAGGGTCTGTTATCCTAGAAATGGATGTAACCTATGAGTCATGGTGCATTCGCTAGTTGTATGCATGTTTTATGGTCTTTGAGTTTGTTGAGAGGTAAAGATCGGTTAATCTGCAGGTTGGAAATGTTGAAACTTTGAATTGCTATTACGCACATGGAGAAGAGAACCCAAACTTTCAGAGGCGCAGCTACTGGATGCTAGACCCGTGAGTTTTGCTCAGCTTCCATGATTGTCTATTTTGTTAAGCCCTTGCTCTGCTGGATCCGAATCTGACATTTAGTTAACACTTAAATTTCTCATAGATACGGTGAGTGATGTCTTAAAATATTACTTGGCATGTGCAGCACATTTGCCACCTTTGTGATGTAGCTAAAACTAGGTTAGAATATGTTGACTGTAAGTTCATGGTGGGAACTTGTAGAAGAAAGAAGACACTTGTCTCACATATTACTTTTCCTGGCAGGGCATATGACCATATTGTTCTTGTACATTATAGAGAGATCAATGAGGTGAGATCCAAGATAAAATGTTACAAGTTTTCTGGTTCTTTTGGGACACTTTTAGTTCTACGGTAGCCATCCCTGGATGCTGATATATCAACTCATCGTGGATATGTGCAGGGAAGAACAGCTTCTGGATCTATTGCTCAATCATCTCCAGGAGCCTCGTACCATCTTGGTCAAAGCCCAAGTTCTTATACTACTAATAATCAAGGATCTACTTCCTTAATCAGTAATTCATGTGAACCATATACAAATTCAGCTAGTCCTGGGTCCATCGAAGTTACGTCTGAGGTAGTTGTCAAGGGAAATGATGGGTGTAGTACAACTGGGTTTACTACTCCAAACAATGAGGTCGGTCAATTTTTTCGAAGGCTGGAGGAGCAGTTAAGCTTGAATGAGGACTTAATCTCAGGACTCGGCCCATTTAATGGTGACGAAGTAGCTGGTAATCAGTCAGAACTCGTGGAATTTCGAACACGAACCTACAAGCAGGATCAGCTTGATGTTGCTGTAGGCAAACCTGAATATTTCCCAGAGTATTATGATCATAATGAGGGAGTGGAAAGGAAGCCAAACAATCAGCTGTTTCAGAACCCAGGTTTTTCCATGTCTCCTTGCTTCCATTTGTCTTATCATTTCTGAGGTTCTTATGTTTTTTGTTTAAATAAGCGAATAATGCTTTTTACTAGAAAGTGGTGTGACGCCCATAAAAATAAAAAAGTGGTGTGACCATCCCAAAAGAAAGTGTTTTTACCCCATGGTGTTAAATTTGGGGTAACAAATTCCTAAGGTTCCTATGTTGATATTGTTTCTCATTTCCCTTTGCCGAACTGGGTCGTCTTTGTGTCATACTAGTGTTCTCATGCAAATTTGACGTTTAGAAGACTATGAAGTATTATAGGTAAAGGAATTTTTGGATCAAACAGAAAGAATAATAGACAAGGTAAATGAAGAAAGATACATGATTGCGTAGTGGGTGTGAAAAGGTAAAAAGGTTTATTTTTAAAAGACTTCAAAAGCAATCTGGGTTGTGTGATTAGATAAACATTGACCATCTGCATTCAGGAAGAGATAACTTGGACAGAACAAGAGGATCTAACTGATCATTTTATACATTTACAACTTGATTGAACCTACTATAGAAGAATGAAGACTTCAATCTGCCCTTTTATTGTTTTGCACGTCATGTTTGAACAGTCTGCATACCTGCTAAATTTCGACATTTTTAGATGGTAGTTGTGCAGATCTTTCATCATATATGCTTGATGGTGCAAGTGGAATGAAGGAATCGCTACAATGGGATGAAGTTTTAGGATCTTGCACACCTTCATCACGTATTGACTCCAAGGTGAGACATTTGGGGGCCTTAAGTTGATTCACTTAATCACATTAAGGTTCCTCCTGTTTGGATGTCTGAACCATGGTTTAATTCACGGAACAGGAAAACTTGACATCTGACTTAAAGAGGGAGCCTGCTGAAGAGTATCAACCTTCACAGTGGCTAAGTTTTGGTGGAAATAATGCTGGAAAATGTAAGGGTTCCGCTGTTCAAATTTATTCTCCATTTTTGCTTTGATATTCTGGACAACTCCCATAAAGCTTTTGCAAACCATGCCTGTTCTCCAGCTTCTGTTTTGCTGCCTGAAGTTGGAAAATTTGAAGTTCTTGGATACTCTGGTATGGAAAGTCAACCAGACAATTTCGACTACCCAATGCTCTACAGTAATGATCAAGCAAACTCCCAGCTGACCCTTGGGCAACATCAGAAATTTAAAATCCAGGAAATTTGTCCAGAGTGGGGTTATTGCTACGAGGGTACAAAGGTAACTGCAAAACACTGGCTATCTTCCTATTTGAAATTGATTGCCATAGCCTCCCTCCTCGTTCTTACATTGTCCTAGCTGGCTAGTTCTCTCTTTGGGTCTCAGTATCATCCCCTCTGTGGGTTTATTTTTTTTTAATAATTCATTCATGATTCCTCGTAAGGCCCTTAGGTCATTAGACAAATTGTTCGATGCAATCTCAGTACAGAACTATAACAGTATAGGTGAACCAGGGATTCTGATGCGTAGGGGTCCCTAACCAGTTCTGTCTGCTTACCAAACTGGATAACCATTACGGATGCATTATAAGAAACTAAAACTGTTAGGCCACTTAACAAAAATATTAACACAGTTGACTGGAAACCACAAAACTGAACCAAGTGAATGACTGGTATGGACCAGTTTTTTAATTTTGTTTGGGTAAACTTGAAGATTTTTTACAAATGCCTTTTGATTATTACTGCTGTTCGTTATTTCATGATTTTTATATACTGGTAACACACAAAAGCAACTGCAACTGCTGTCGTTAATAATTGTTCCCGGCTAACCAATGTTTGACCACAATTTAACCAACTGGTTAGCCACCTCCTTGCTTCAACTGTCGTGACATGTCTTTCTGAGAATTAGCTTCCACGTAGTCTTTGTTCTTAATGCACTGCTATATTATACCAGTAACACACAAAAGCAACTGCAACTACTGTCGCTAATCATTGTTCCAGGCTAACCAATGTTTGATTGACCGCAATTTAACCAACCTGTTAGCCACCTCCTTGCTTCAACTGCCATGACATGTCTTTCTAGGAATTAGCTTCCTCATAGTCTTTGTGCTTAATGCACTGCTATATTGTATGTGGTTTTGGCAGGCTTCCTCTGATGAGTTTTCATTGGCTTTCTTTTGGTCCAATTTTGATGTCTAAACTGTGAATGCAGGTCTTGATAGTTGGCTCTTTTCTTTCTGACCCCTCGGGATCGGCATGGGCCTGCATGTTTGGTGACACTGAAGTTCCTATAAGGATTATTCAGGAAGGCGTTATACAGTGTGAGACCCCCCATCTAGACCCAGGAAAAGTCTCAGTCTGTATCACATCTAGCAATCGAGAATCTTGTAGTGAGATCCGAGACTTTGAATTTCGAAAGAAGCCTAGTCCTGGCTGTATTCATTGTGCTCTATCCCCATTGGAATCCAAGAATCCAGAAGAACCATTGTTACTCGTCAGATTTGCACAGTCACTTCTGTGCGAGTCCTCTTTGCTGAAGCTTAACAGCGACGAATCTTCTGTACGTAATCAACCCGGAGCATCAAATATGGATGACGGCTCATGGAGTCAGGTAATCGAGGCTCTTTTAGTTGGTAGCGGAACTTCATCAACCACTGTCAATTGGCTTCTGGAACAACTTCTCAAGGATAAGCTGGTTCATTGGCTTTCCTCCAAGTCCCATGGGTCATCAGATAATCAATCTGGTGGTTGTTATCTTTCCAAGAAAGAGCAAGGGATTATTCACATGGTTGCTGGGTTGGGCTTTGAGTGGGCCTTGATTCCCATACTTAGTCATGGGGTCAGTGTAGATTTCAGGGACATTAATGGCTGGACTGCTCTTCATTGGGCTGCTCGCTTTGGCAGGTAAGGATTTCACTACCGGACTTTCTTCCATAACTGAATTGTTAAATCATGTTTTCAGTAATTTCTTGCATAGTTAAATCATCACCATTCGTGCTAATTGTCACTGTGAGTTAATAATAGATCGCTGAGATCATATGCAGCCATCTATTAATGTAACTACTCTGATCAGTATCATATAGAAAAAATAAAGGGAATGCCAATCACTAGAAAAGAGGCTCTCTGATTTACTCGGAAAGAGGCGGATTTACTTGCATCTTATCTATCAAGATTGAGGATACTAATATCTTGTTTTCTCTCTCAGGGAGAAAATGGTTGCAGCCCTTATAGCTTCTGGAGCCTCAGCTGGAGCTGTGACAGATCCTAATTCACAAGATCCCATTGGAAAAACCCCAGCTTCCATTGCTGCCATCAACGGCCATGATGGACTCGCTGGCTATCTCTCCGAGCTGGCGTTGATAAGCCATCTCTCCTCACTCACATTAGAAGAGAGTGAGTTATCCAAAGGATCGGCTGAGGTTCAAGCCGAGAGAACCATGGATAGCATTGCGAAAGAGAGCTTTCCGGCATCTGAAGATCAAGCTTCGATAAAGAATACTTTGGCTGCTGTTCGGAATGCAGCACAGGCTGCTGCCCGGATACAATCTGCTTTCCGTGCACATTCGTTCAGAAGGCGGCAACACGGGGAAGCTGTAGCTGCTGAAGATGAGTATGGCATTTTATCTGGTGACATCCAGGGGCTCTCGGCGCTGTCAAAGATGGCCTTTGGTAACCCACGTGATTATAGTTCTGCTGCTTTGTCTATCCAGAAGAAGTATCGTGGTTGGAGGGGTCGACAAGACTTCCTTACCCTGAGACAGAAAATCGTGAAGATACAGGTACATGATTCGTCCATTGTCTGTGATATCTGAAGTAGGAAGATGAAATTATGTCAAGACTCCCATTTTTACTTTCATTTTTTTTAGAGCGTTTATCTTAGTTTTGTGACCTTTTTGTGGAGTTTGAATAGGTGTTTTAAGAAATTATATTGAAAAAGTCGACCTTTTTTAATGCCACATTTAAGCTAAAGCAAGCACAACCTTTACGTGTACTACACTGCACGTATTAGTGCTCCAGTTGCATGATTGATCAGCCACCTTGGGATGAGATATTCTCTTACTCGTCTTTGATTGCAGGCATATGTGAGGGGGTATCAGGTGAGGAAACACTACAGGGTAATCTGTTGGGCAGTTGGGATTATTGATAAAGTTGTGCTGAGGTGGCGGCGAAAGGGAGCTGGGTTGCGTGGGTTAAGGAACGAGACGGAGCCCATTGGCGAGGAAGAAGAAGAAGATGTAGACATCCTCAAGAGTTTCCGTAAACAGAAGGTTGATGGAACTGTGGATGAGGCAGTCTCGCGTGTTCTGTCGATGGTCCAGTCTCCAGACGCACGCCAGCAGTATCAAAGGATGCTCGAGCGTTACAAACAAGCTAAGGTAAGCAGGAATCAGGTCTAAAAACTTTTGTTACTGGGCTTTAAGATTTGGTTTGTGTTAATAGGTAGGAAGGAACCATTTGAATAATCGGATGCCATGAAAGACAGGTTAACAATTTCATGGACATTACTTGATTCTTGATGTCCTGAACAAATCCAACGATTGACTAATGATCTTGAATACTCTAATGTTTCTTGTTGACATATTGTTTTGTATCACAAACCTATTATTGTTTCTTGTTTAAATTTCTAGGCTGAACTAGCTGCCAGCAGCGAAGCGGGAACTTCAAATCAACGCAGTGGATCGGCAATGGAAAGCGAAACTCAGCACCATTTCCAGTAGAAGTGTCTCATTCTGGCAATTCATATTTGCTTAATAACTTTGGGTGGAACGAGGCTTTAGGTTTAGCTGCTCTTTTTTTACTCGATTTAGGTGGAAAATGTAAATAGCATTTCGATTGAGTGAAGACTTATTTTCTTGATGTAGTTAACTGGACAGCTCCCATGCTATCATCATAGTTGTAAATGGCGGAATTGATTTTTGTAAGGACTTTTGGTTTTGGTTGGTGTTGTAAATGGTATTTTAGTCCTTTTGCTTCCCATTTCCGGGACAGGTTAGTAATCACGGGGAAACTGTGATGATAAAAAAATTATTAATATCATGTAAATATTGATATATGGATGACTATTGTTAGGTCTTTGCTACGGTGACATGCACTTTTCGGTCGACCTCATATAGGATTAGGTCGACCTAATCTGTTGTTTCAGTGGAAAAACAGTTTCATGGTGTCTATTTTGGAGATTCATATATTACAATTGGCTAGATGGAAATTGGAGATTAAAGGCTTGTTTTGAAGCTGAAGTGTCCCTCTACACATTAAAGTACTTGGGAGCTCAATAGAAAGTCCAGAAGACCATTTTTGAACCTGAACAAAAGGTTATGCAAAAACTGGGAAACTGCCTGAAAATGGCTAAGTTTGGCAACGTGTTTGTCAAGCCTACTTTGGAGCTCAATTTGAAAAGCATGGATGCTAGTCAAGTCCAGAGGCCTCTACCACGTTAAATTACGTATTTTTTTTATACAGAGGCAAGGAATTGGATGAAAGATTGAATATCTTTAAGGCTTCAAACAAAAAGATCGAAGTTGCTACGAAGGCTGTTTTTCTGGCAGCTTGCTTGTGCTCGAAGTCTGCCAGAAAAACAGCCTTCGTAGCAACTACGACCCTTTTGTTTGAAGCCTTACAGATATCCAATCTTTCATCCAATGCCTTGAATTTGTATAAAAACATACCTAATCTAACGTGGTAGAGGCTCCTGGACTTGACTCGCATTCATGCTTCTTGAATTGAGCTCCAAAATAGGCTTCACAAAAACGTTTCCAGACTTAGCCATTTCTAGGCAGTTTCCCAGTTTTGGCATAGCCTTTTGATGAGGTTCAAAAATGGTCTTCTGAACTTCCTATCGAGCTCTCAATCACTTCAATATGTAGAGTGACACTCTAGCTTCAAAACAAGTCATTAGTCTTCAATTTCCATATAGCCAATTGTATGATATGAATATCCAAAGTAGACACCATGAACTGTTTTTACACTGAAACAACATATTAGGTCGACCTGATCCTATACGAGGTTGACCGAATCCTACATGAGGTCGACGAGATCCTATATGAGATCGACCGAATTCTAAATGAGGTCGACCTAATCCTAGCTGAGGTCGACCGGAAAGTGCAAGTCACCATGACATGCATGTCACCGTAGGCACACCCCTATTGTTATTACCACATTAGATACTCACTTGGGAGTTACATGTAACCCTTATTCCTATATTTGATAGTTTCTTTATGTTCAATTATCTCTCATTGATATAAGGATGTAGTGGTTACCAAATTGTACCTATAAATAGAGCAAACCATTTGTATCTAAAGGGATTAATTGCATGGTTGGTTAGTGAGATTACAAAAAACGTTCAAGTTTGGTCATTCGAAATATTTAAATCTATTGGTGGTACTTCAGTTACTGAAACCGTTCACGTTTGGTGACTATCCGTCCAACTCCGTTAACTTTTGCTTACGTGGCGGTCAACTCTAAAAATTGACCGTTAAATGTGTGACGTGGCAATTTAAAAATAATAAAAATAATACAATTAAAAATTTTAAAATAATAATCTCATTTCCACCTCATTATCACTTTTATTTAAAATAAATAAAAAAACCCGAATTTCTTATAATTCCCAATACCAATACTCCGCTGGGAGCATACCCCTCGTCGCTGCCGCTTCCATTGTTGCAGGCGATACAACTCTCCATCGATGAACTGCTCCTCTCGGAAGACAGAGGAGCGGCAGGGAGGTAGCCAAGTGAAATAGAGTGGAAGGGATCATGGCGCCGTTGTGGTGAATCCCGTAAATGAGATTAATCGGGTATCGAATTCGCCGCTTCGGCTGGTCCTGACTGAGAGAGTGGATGTCATCGCCAGGTTACCGTGATTTGTATGGCTACAGAGGGTGTACCACCGGGGAATCCGCCGGGTCTCCGTTGCTGCATGCAACTTCCTGTCCGACATCGCGAGGGTTTGTTTTAGAGGCGGGTATGGGGGTTCTACTTGCTTAGATTTCTTTTTGATTTGTTGTTGCAGGGAAAGGAAGGCAAGAGGAGCTGGGCAGGGGATTGATTTACGGTGAGAGGAGTGAGATGTGTTTTAGAAATTATTTTTATTTAATTGAACCCACTTTTTCCTTCTTCCTCCCCTCAATTAGATCCGAACCCACTTAGATTTTGTTAGAATTAGATGGTGTGAACATTTTCGTTGATTGTATATCATGAAGAGTGATTTGCGAGGGATTATTTTGAAGGAACATGGTAAGAAGCAGGGCGGTCGAATGAGAGATAAAATAGAGATGGGATTGAGAGCTCGGGGGTGGAGAGGAGGGGGAATTTGCGAGGGATTGTAATCTATAACTAACTCGGTGTTTCCTCCATTAACGTCGAGATGGAAATTTGGTAAACGCCGGAGGAAAGGAACGAGAAGGGGAAAGAGGGGTTGAAATTCCTCGCCGCTTCTGGAAGAATCGGCAAGAAAAAGAGGACGAGACCGTTGTTTTTGCCGGCGATATGACTCTCCGTCGATGAACTGCGACAACGGGGTATGCTGCTGACGGGGTATTGTTTATTTATTTTAAATAAAAATGATAATGAGGTGGAAATGAGATGGTAATTTTTTAAATTTTAAATTTTTAAATTGTCATGTCACACATTTAACGGTCAACTTTTAGAGTTGACTGCCATGTAAGCAAAAGTTAACGAAGTTGGACGGAGAGTGACCAAACGTGAACGGTTTGTTTCAATAAACTGAAGTACCACCAATGGATTTAAATATTTCGAGTGACCAAACTTGAACGTTTTTTTGTAATCTCAGTGACCAACCATGCAATTAACCCGTATCTAAAGTGAAGAATGAATAAGAAGAGCTCTTCATCTTTCTTCTCTTGTGTCTTTACCTCTCTAATCTTCTCTTGTAGTTGTTTATATTTTTCATTAGTTTCATAACACGTTATCAGCACGAAGCTCTGCTAGCATAATGGTTGGTTATTGTCTCTCTACACAATCTAGTATATTGGAGTAAGATCACAATATGATCAAGGTATGCAAATCTTCATCTTCTTTCATATCTTATTGTCTTATTTGTGTTGAGATTATCTCATTCCAATATATTAAGATTGATGCTACTATTTTCTCGTAGTAGACCATCCATTGATATTTTATCACGTACATCTATTTGGATTAAAATTTTAGGTTGTGTGATTTGATTTATATTATTTTGTGTTTTACAATACATATATTGATTCCTTAAAATTAAATTTGTATTTTGACATTATAGCAATTTAAAATTTGCTCATGTAGTAGCAATAACAAGAAAAGTAATGAGTTAATTTCTCAGTTCTCCGTGTTATCGTATTCCTATCAATCCTACTTTCATATGTAGAAAATGCAAGATCCAAAAGCCATATATTCCCCAGAAGTGGAAATTGAAGAATCCATGGGCAAAGAAAGAAGTGGACATGGTAACAAGAATATTGGTTATGTTTGTTACCATTATAATGGGAAAATGTGTTTGTCTCGTACCCGTTGTACACAAAAGACCTTATTCTATCAAGAATCAAAGGGGAAAAAAATTATATACACTCCTGTTATGGAAAATACTTTTCGTATTAAAAGTTGGTATATTCTCCATTAAAGAGGAAAATGATATTGCACTTGAGAAATTTTCATTTCCAGAAGTGAATGAAACAATCTATTCTCCGAAGTGAATGGAGCTATAAACATAATTATATATATGTTAAATGTATTGTTTGGATCTTTTCACCAGAAGTGAGAAAAGAGAAGAAAAAGGAGAATTATAAATAAGGATGACACAACAATTGCATTATCAAAGTCATGATAACATAAAGTACCCATTGTACATTGAAATGCATAATGAAACGCATATATAAATTTAAAATCACCTAGTTAGTGATGGTATTGTTCCAAATAAAGCTTATTTTATTTTCATAATTGTAGTATTATGATTCTTATTTTCTTTTATGTTTTATTGTGACATTATATTTCATGCGTAATTAATTTGATAACTTTTATCTAGAACAATTAACTTGATAAATTCATCATTCTTGTCTTAAGTTTGAAATATTCATATTTATTATTTTAGTATGTTTTTATAATCTATGAGTGTTAGAAAAATTCCATATAAACTATATGGTAGAGTACGCAAATAAGAAAAGGCTTCCGAAGAGCTTATATTTGGTTACCTAAAGTAACTAAATCATGTACTCGTGATAACAATTCGTGATGTTGTTCACTATGAATATATGTTTACTAAGAATGCATCAAATTATAAGTCTATAGAAGAGCGAAATATGGTAAAGCTCTAAAAGTGCTAATGTTTTGTGACCTAAAGGAACAAAAGTACCTAGTGATGATGCATTGCCCAATTAAAAGGATATTGGCGGTAAAGAATATCTTATCAAGAAAATAGTGAAACTAATATTTGCATCACAAATATGTACTACATGTATATTAGCACTATCGGTACACATAAAAGTGTAAACCAGAAGTTTACAAGATTTGATAACTTGGTAATTTGGTTAGTCCGGTTAGACCATCTCAGATGATGTGAAAAAAATTCTTTGAGAATTCATGGGAACCTCATATGAGAAGTCAAAGAACTCTTCAACTAAAAGAGTTATTATAGCATGCTTGTTCTCAAGGAGAATATAATAATTAATCATCGCTTATAAAAGAGTTGGCAAATCTCTTGAGATTTTATGGACGTGTATGCAGAACAATACATC